CTTGTTTGGTCTTTGAGTTTTCTCTCCTCTCTTCTTCCCTGTTTCAATGCTGGAAGAAAGATTAACTAACAAGTAACAACTTTTTTCCTTCAGAACAAAAAACAGAGAAATTAACGGGAGTCAAGGTTTGTATTAACCATTGTTTTTTAATTTGCTTTTTTTAAGGAGATTCTATAATCTATTTCCTCCTCATTTTGTGGGGTTGAAAAAATGGTTTAAAACATCTCATACTAGAATATTTATACAGTCAATTCTTTTCTTTATTATGGATTTTCATTTTATTTGAATAATAATTATCTTTCAAAAAGTCGTACAATACAACAAATATAAATCACGAAGGACATAATTTTTAGAGCATTTACCCACTGTCAAATTTTTATAACCTTTTTTTTTTGTTTTTCTGTTTTATATCTCGCATATTCCACGTTGTAATAATGTATATGTTGATGCTTTTTGCTAAATAAACAAAGACACGAAGCGATATTTTTCCATGTAAGCACATCAATACCAGTTTAGATGTTTTAAAAAAAAACAACGATTTATTAATAAGATAGTGTTTGTGTTGGCAAAAAAAAAATGATTAGCAAATTTTGGGAAATGAGGAAATGAGAACTAAAGTTCTTTGTATTTCTATTTTCCCATGGGGTGATGTGAATACTGAATGATCAAGTGAAGAAGTTGTTGTACTACTAATTTGTATATCAATAATACAAACAAAAACAAATTTATGAATTTCTTATGAAGTAATACTATTATAAAGGGTATCATCAAGTGAGGAAATAATAAAAATCTTATCTCAGCTTGTCGGTTTGTATCTGATCGGTGGGTCCGTAAAAGAGAGTGGCTATTATTGGTGACTCGCTCGTTAAGTAAGAACCACTTGACAAACGAGTGACGACGGTACCCTCTCAATACTAGGTGAAATATGAAAATGCGGTGTCGTTTTTTTTGCAGCACCATAACACTAAATGCGAAACCAACCAAGCCTTGTTGAGCCCTTCAGATTCCACACAATATTTTCATTTGAACAACCAGAGAATGAAAAATCTCATTGAGCTAATTTATACATTCATGTTTGTATAGTATGTATACATATATAATGTAAGCTTCTTTCTATTGCCTCATATAACAATATTTTGTGATCTAAAGGTACAATAAAATATGCATAAACCAAAGAATCAAAAGTGAGTTCTAGTTTATATCATATAGGAATGAGGAGAAAGTAAAAGTAACATTTCTTCCATAAGAGAGTCCTTTTATATGAAAGATGTACCCGCGAGTCCGTGATGCAATAGATTATGCGAGATTGTATCTCTGGCCTTCATCGCATTAACCGATCTCAATGCATTTTCAGGCAAAACCTCGTCATCAATCACTTCAACCATCAGCTCCGGATCCATCTTCTCATCTCTTATTTCACATATGTTGTGAAGAACACAACACGCACCCAATACCGTAGGCAAATCCTGCAGTTTCACTTCAGTCCGTTTCTGCAGACACGCCCAACGCCCTTTTAACCTCCCAAACGCTTCCTTAGACACTATCTGCACTTCACTCATCTTCTCATTGAACGCGTGCTGCGTCCACGTCAAGTTCTGTTGCGAATACGGTACCAAGACCCAATCCAATAACGGATGACCCGGTCCACCAGCGACCCACAAACCTTTCAACAGACCACCATTGTTAGCTCTCTGGTATAACAATGACTTCTCCAACACCTGATCATCAGGCATTGACCCGGGCCATCCGATACACAAGTCAGTAAAAACGCCTCTAGGGTTCACAACGGCCTGAATCGTGATCGAATACGAAGTCTTTTGATTCCTCTCTGTATGCCTCTTGTTGAAATAAGCAGCTACGCTAATCTTAGGAGCTATAATCGGAATGTGAGTAGTATACATAGATCCAACAACATTCGGAATACCCGAAATCGATTCGAACGTTTCTCTAATGTTCCTCAACGATTCATCATCTGGCCATTGAAGATACTTTGGCATTAGAACATCTTTAATCGCTTTACATACCTCAAGAACAAGCTTGTGGCAAGTCGAGATTCCTAAACCGAATTTCTTCGATACGAGACGCAATGGCTCTCCGGTGGCTAATCTCCATATGCAAACCGCGACTCGCTGCCGCACCGGAATCGCGTTTCGTAACGCGGTGTCTTCTTTCGCAACCGCGGAATTAAGCTCGTCGCAGATTAACTCAAACGTCGATTTCGACATTCGAAACGCTCTTTTGAAATCTTCCTCTGGATAATCCAATCGGCTACACTCTTCCCACCAAGCTCTGCTCCGATCCTTAACCCATAACCGCCGTTGCTG